AAATGCTTTTTCTCGCAACAGAGCAAGAACCCCACTTCCATCAGCAGCAAAGCTGTACTAAACTAAATACTAAATGAGTTCTTCAGTCAGAAGGAAAGTGATCTTGGAAAGAAACCAGAAATCCATCAATCAGAAAATTTGAATACGAACAACCCCCTGAACCTAACTGACAAAGAGAAAACTATACCCAGGAGTAGACTATACATTCTTTTTGAGGGTACATGGAAGGCTTACCAAAACTGGGCCATCCACCAAATTTCAAACTTTTAAAGAGGATTTAGAGCATCTCTAATCACAAAATTAAACTAGAAATCAATTATAAAAAGATAACTAAAAAATTATCATCTGTTTGGAAATTAAGCAATGCGTTTTAAAATAAGCCTTGAGACCAGTAGAAATCATAAGAATTAGAAAAAAAAATTGAATTTAATTATAATGAAAATACAATATATCCAAACTTGCAGGGTAGAGCTAAAGCTATGTTTTCAGATAAATTAATCCTTAAGCACATATATTAGGAAAGAAAGAAAGCTAAAATGGTATTTCACTATTCCTCAAATACAAGTGAAAATCTGTCCGGGCTGGCTTCTGCTGACTTTCCCCAGCTTCATCCTTTTCTCTCTCTCTCTCTCTCTCTCTCTCTCTCTCTCTCTCTCTCTCTCCCCCTCCCTCTCTCCTCCCCCCTCTCCTCTCCCTCCTCCCTCCTCCTCTCTCTCTCTCTCTCTCTCTCTCTCTCTCTCTCTCTCTCTCTCTCTCTCTCTCTCTCTCTCTCTTTCTCTCTCTCTCTCTCTTCATTCATTTCTTTGCCAACACTGGCCTTTGAATTCCTTGATTGTGCTAAATTACTTCCTGCCCTGGGGCCTTTGCACAGGTAATCCTTCTTTTTGAAATGTTCTTACTCCTTCCTTCCTCTGGCCAACTTCTCATTTTATAGGAGTCAGCTGACATGCCATTTCCTTAGAAGCCTTACCAACTTCCAAATCTGGGTTTAGGGACTCCAACCTGGGCTTTTAAATTCAAACGCAGTCTTTCACGACTCATTACTGTAATCAGTTATTGTTTGGGCAACTGCTTTTTGTACTATTAATTTAAAAATATTGTTTTTCATTCTCCAAATGCTATAAGCTCCTTGCTGGTAGCAACCGAAGCTGTCTTGTTTATCTCCAGCACTTAGCATGGTGTCTGGCAAAGAGCCTATACACGTGTGTTTAAAAAGCGGGTGAGCCCCAGTTTGGCTCAGTGGATAGAGCATCAACCTGAGGACTGAAGGGTCCCAGGTTCAATTCCAGTCAAGAGCATATACCCTGGTTGCAGGTTCCCTGGCCCTGGTCTGGATGTGTACAAGAGGCAACCAATCAGAGTGTCTCTCTCACATTGATGTTTCTCTGTCTCTCCTTCTCCCTTCTATTCTCTCTAAAAATCAATGGATAAATATCCTCAGTTAAGGATTAACACTCAAAAACAAAACAAAACAAAACAGTACAAAAACACACACACAAAAAGTGTGTAAAACATTAATTAACCATCTAAGTAACCATTCAGTTTATTCAAAGTTAAAAGAAGAAAATTCTCCAGTAGTATTGCTGTCAGCAGTTGGCACTTACTCCTGTGGCATTTACAATGTGATTTACAATCATTTGCCAACCCAAGAAATCTCTCAATTAAAGATTCTGTCCCCACCTTATGTTTAAGTACAATAATTTTAACTCTACATTACTTACTGTTTAATTTATTTGGGAAAAGACAAAATTTTCTTCTTTAGTAGTAAACTCTATTACATCTGTTCCATGCTATGTCAAGCTAGGTGTTGTAAAAATGATTCAAATGACTGCCATTTTTAACAGTCTGTGGACGAAAAAAGGATCACATATTAAACCTGATAAACTGAGAGACCAGAAGGATGGTGTGAAAATTCCTAAGTAAAAGCAGGTCCGGGCAGATACTACTGGTAGTAGTTGTCTTAGGTCTACGACTTCCTTGACAAAGGTCAATCTTTATCTTAAGTGAGCCTGTCTATTATCTTTTTTGTAGTCTCAGATAACATACCTTTGGAATGTCAGAGGAATCTCCTTTTCTAGACCCACCAAGGCAAAACCCCTTGCACCAGAGCAGGAGAACACACAAACCTTATTGTTATCTGTTTCCCACATACCATCTCTGTGTGCTGAAATGTTAATTATTAACTATTCTGTACCCGCCAATGTAAAAGAAGTGTCTCCAGTTTTACTTTTTTATCCAGCCCTGAGATTTCCCGGGTTTGCTTCTTCCCACCCCTTTCATCTACCAGCCATGGGTTCCTGTTAGTGCTCCTGACATCTCTTCCTAAGGTTCTAAGGTATAAATGCTGCAACACTGCCATTCTCAGGAGCATTTTCTCAACTCGTGGGTAGCTTGCTTCCCAACAGTTATCAGTTTGACTCAAACTCATAAAAATTCTCTACAGGTTTAGACACAAGTCAAACTATACCAATAGTTGTTGTCTTTCTCTGTGGTATCTCACTAAAAGCTTTAAAGGGATTGCTCCTCTTTGTTTTGAAAAAGAGGAAACCAGAGAGGTTAAGTGACTTGCCCAAGGGCACAGAGCCAATCAGAAGCAAGACTGAGGTGTGACTCCAGGTCCAGGCAGACTCATAGCTCCAACTGGCTGCCCATCTTTGGTCAGAGGGAGCTTTCAAGGGACAGGAAAGAAGCCGAGGCCAACAGTGAAGAATGGTGACTACAAAGCAGTCTCAGCTAAGCCTGACCCCAGCCCAGCAGAGAACCATGTGTGACTATGGACAACCTCTTTAGCTTCAGTTCTCCATCTGTGAAATGCAACCAATACTAGTAAGTAAAAGCATATATCGATAGTTGAAGTGCCTGTAAAGCACCTATCATTTAGTAACGTGCTTAGTAAGTCATTCTCAAGGGATACTGCAAACAAACTACTCTTCGCTTCGCTCAGATTAAAAATATACTCATATGTCAGCTCCCCTTTGCCTTCAAAGGATATGATGAGAAAGAATATGATGATATCATCAAATTCACTAAGCCAGAGATCAGGAGTCCATGAGTTCCAACTCCCAGGACGATGGGCTACATAGCAAGTGACAAAAATGCGTGTCTATGACTATAAAGCTGCCTAGCTTCTCCCCAGAGCTGCTTCCCTTCAGCAGTTGATTCCACAATCCAGTGAAGAGGGAAGGTGCTCTGGACCCAGCATAACTGCCCCAAACATTCCAGAGGGTGGGCCAGGGCCAGGAGACAACCCCGATTTTGCCCTTCCCAGGATCACACCTCTGAGGTGTGACTGCTTTCCAACCTCTTTCTCTCACTGATTGTGATAATGAGCACCGATCAGCCCCAGGGGTGTGAGGACTTCTGCACATGGGGTGGCCCACACACTCTGCAAGGACAGCTGGAACAGTCCATTCCGCAGGGTCCATACAGCTCATAGCACTCACCCACCCACACCCCAGGCCCTGTGGGATCCCAATGGACCTGCGCAGGACCTTTCGAATATTACCTGCTGCCTGGAAAGGTCTTTTTCCTAGTCTCTATTACTACTGCAGGACTTGAACTCTTCAAGATCACGGTTTCCCTTGCCCAAACCTACTCTTTAGTCAGTTGTACCCCAATCTGGTGATATTTCCCCAGCTTCAGGTGAATACTGCATGTGCATCTCCTCTACCCTCCCGATCCCTCCTGACTCCACAAGGTTTTCATTAGCAGCCGTGTTCATAAGAAATGTGTCATCTCCTGGTACCTAGACTTTGTTTCCTTCTCTTGGTACCAGACCCAATCCCTCACCACTCTGCACTCTTGACTGGTTTGCCTGGGAGTCAACCCACTCACCCTTGAAGGATAAAGACCTACAAGGGAGGAGGAGCGAGTTGGTTGGAGCCCCTGGGTACCTTATGAAGGTTTACAGGGCCCACAGAGACCAACTTCAAAAAATAACCCAGAGCATAATGCCCGGCTCTCCCTTCCCCACAGGAATCCCTCAGAGCAGTGGTTGGCAAACTCATTGGTCAACAGAGCCAAATATCAACAGTACAACGGTTGAAATTTCTTTTGAGAGCCAAATTTTTTAAACTTAAACTTCTTCTAACACCACTTCTTCAAAATAGACTTTTGTGGAAGAGCCACACTCAAGGGGCCAAAGAGCCGCATGTAGCTTGCGAGCCGCAGTTTGCCAACCATGGTCTGAGACCTTCCCTGACCTATCCCCTAAACCACATGTGTCAAACACAAGGCCCGCGGGCCAAATCCGTCCCGCCAGGCCTTGCAATGTGGCCCGCACCGCGCCGTCATCACTGCACTCCGCTGCGTTTCCATCACAATGACAGTTTATGACTGTTCAGTAAACCATTCGGCCCGCGATTTAGGCTGGATTTTAGATTTTGGCCCCTTCTCTGATTGAGTTCGACACCCCTACCCTAAACTAAGCAGAACTGCGTCTATATATGTCAATCCTGACATTCTGGCTCTGGGGCCTCCCCCTGACAGCACAGGAGCAAGACAGACCAGGACCGAACGCTGCCCTGGGCACTGTGCGATCCGAGTGAGCCATCAGTGTCCCTGAGCCAGTCCTTCTGGAGTAAAGCAGGGGCCACCTCGAGTGTCAGCATACACGAGCTTAAGGCACAGGGCCAAACACCTGGGGTGCCCACAGGAAACAGACCCATCCCCTGAAAACCAGCTCCACAAATGGGGACCAGCAGCACCCCTTCCCTGACTTCTCTGGGGGCCCAATGGACACCTGGCCTGGAATAGTCCTGCCAAGCCTGCCGCAGCCCCCTCCATTTGCCAGGTTGCTAGGGGAGAAGGGAGTGCTCCTGTGGCAATTACAGGTGACCAATAGCTGCCTCGGATCCAGGTGAGAGAACTGAGAAACAGATGGTCCTCTGTATTATTACAGAAATTTTGAAATTAGGCAGGTGGTAGCAGGTTTCAAGCCATGTATGAGAATTTTTACAAATACAGGCTAAGTTTACAAAGAATAATAAACAAATTCTTACTTTATCATGCTCTCCATTTTCGAAGCTGCCTCATGGAATTGCTGTGAAGATAGTTTATACATCTCAGCATTCTACAAAGAGAAAAATAGAACAGGTTACCAAAGACTGCAATTTCCCTCTGTCCCTGTCACATGATGCAACTGCATTAAAAAGTGACAGATGCTAGCTAGCCCTGGCCAGGTGACCAAAAGGTAATGGATTTGATCCCAGGGAAGGGTATGAATGGGAGGCAACCGATAAATGTTTCTCTCTCTCTCTTTCTCTCTCTGAAAAAAAAAAAATAATAATAATAATAAATAATAAATAAATAAATAAATAAATAAATGACAGACACTAATATCTTGACCATCATCAAAGCAGACTAGTGATGATCCACAGCTTAGGGTTAGTTCCTACCCTGGACCAACCAGAGCTACAGAATCCTAGCTGAGCAAAGAATGGAAGGACATGGATCTTCCAGTTTGAGGGTCAGCAACACACCACCCATGAGCAAGTCCCAACCTGCTCCCTTGTTTTATAAATAAAGTTTTATTGAAATATGCCACAGTCTGAATTTGTTTTCACTTCTGTGGCTGCTTTGTGCTACAATGGCCAAGTTAAGTTGTTGTGATGAGACTATATGGCCCAAAGAGCCTAAAATGTTTACCATACTATCTAATAAAGAGGGAATATGCTAATTGATCCTTATACTGTTGCAAAGGTAGCATCTCCCGCAGCCAATAAGGAGGGAATATGCTAACTGACTAGCATGCCCTCAAAGATGGTGGTGCCCACAGCCACAAGATGGCGGCATCCAGTCCCCTCATGCCCCACCCCGAGGCTCAGGTAACCAGGGCTAAGGTAACTGTCAGATAAGGCAGTGACAGCAGCAGAGGTGTGATGGGGCGTCGCCCTCCCCTGATCGCTCAGTTGCCTCCCATCCCTGAGGGCTCCCGGACTGTGGGAGGGGGCAGGCCAGGCTGAGGGACCCTCATTCCAGTGCATGAATTTTCATGCACCGGGCCTTTAGTCTTTAAATAAAAAGTTTGCAGAGTCTGAATCTGGTCCAAGCCTTATTTTATAGGTAGGCTCTGCTGCCCAGATAGATGAAGCCACTAGCCCAAAGTCACACAGCAAGTGGCTGTGCCAGGGCTACAGCCCAGGAGGCTGATCCTGAGTCAGGCATGAGTCCTGCTGCCTGCCAACACCAAGGTGCTTCTAGGCATGGTGACTGGACAGAGCCTTGCAGGGTGATTCCGAAGGCACACACTTATAGCCCTTCTGAGGCCTCGGGGGTGTAGATGTACAGAGCCAGGCTGGTGTGGAGACAGCCAGGTTTGCAACAAGGTAGGGTGGATTAAATCCCAGGGGCTACCTCACTGTGACTCTGGGTAAGTCACTACTTCCTTTGTCTCAGGGGCAAGTTCCTTCTGGCCACACAGGTCCAGAATCCAGCACTTTGCACTTGTTTCCCCGAGGAGACCAAAAGAAACACACAGCTAGCCCACCTGCCCATGCAGAGAACTGTGGGGACTGACTTCTTGCAGGAACAGCCTTAAGAATTAAATCACCCAGATCATAGCCCAAGACAAGACCGGCACTCAGACCTTCCCAGGGAGGGTGACAAGATAGCAGCAGATGCCATGCACACAGATAGCCTGGCCTGAGGGGAATGACCCCCTCCTTAGACAGACTGAAATAGGTGCCAGGCAGAGAAAGTGCCTTGTCCCATCACCCATCTGCAGGGAAGGTAACCAAGGTGGGGCAGGAAGTACCTCCCCTAGGACCTACAGAACACCAAGGTGGAGTCTGGACCCCCACCCTTGTGCGGCAGCCTCAGGGAAGAGTCATGTGGGTGATCAGCATGGAAAGTTGTGCTGGAGGGAGCACACTGGGACAGAGCAGTGTAGAAACTCAGCTCTGGGTGGTGCTGGGGTAAGGCCAATGCCAGGCCTTCTTCCCCCAGCCACCGAGTGAGCCTGGGCAGGTCATGCTGCCTCTACCTGGCTCCTGTCCTCATCTCTGAACTGGGGAGATGGCCATCAGGCACACAACTGGGACGTGAGAAAACTCCCACCACACAACAGGTACAAAATATATAGGGGCTCCCCTTCCCTCCTGGCCAGGCTGCCCTGGCACGTGCTCCTGCTGGTACGTGCTCATTCCAAGTCACCCAGCACATTTCTCTCTGGAGCTGTATGTTCCAGCCAAGAGATCACGATTCTTCCTCAGCCAGACTGACATTCACCCAACACTGACTGTTCTGAGTGGAGGAGTAAGGACGAGACGAGTGAGATCAGGGCCTCCCCTCACTCTTCGTGACACCCTGGTGGGGACCGCTGAGACTCAGTTTGTAGTCCAATTCATGAGCCCTCACAAAAGGCTGCATGGTCCAGAGACCCACATTTTAGCTTCCACTCAGGCACATGCTGCAGTGACCTTTGGGTCACTTACTTCCTGGGGCCTTGTTTCCTTGTTCCCTCCCTCACAGACTGGCTGAGACCACGGCCGGTGGTTCCTGGCTCACGATACCCTCCCTGTCCATGGTAGCCGCTACCATTACACCACAGAACTTTCTAACGCTAACCTATGCCTTACCTAAGCACCCGACCCATCTGGGTCTGCTTCCTTTCCCACAAGATAGCCTCACAGCCCACGCCTTCTCCTCTTTGGTCCCCATTTTCCCGGCCCCACCACTTGTCAATGTCCCTTTATAAGAGAGTATCCCCATCCCAGATGGGCCCAGAGTGCTGTTGGTTGACAGAAAGCTCATTGCATCTCCAGGCACACAGACCAGCAAGGGTGAACCGATAAATGGTTAAGTCAACCACAAGCTCAGACTGAGCATGTGGTCAGTAAGATTTGTCACAGGAAGTGCCCACAGGCCAAGAAGTGGTTGTGATTACCCGATGGCAGCTTCCTCTATTGTCCCTCAGAATGACTCAGAGGAAGTCCCCTTCCTGACCTGACCCACCCACGCACCCTGACTTCTAATCTGCCTGCATAGACCCAGACCCACCAGGCATTGTTGGGTGCCCCAATGCTGTTCCCTGGTACACACCAAGGCCCTGGTCGGACTCTGGGAGTGCTGAGCTGGCTTCCTGTGCTCACGGCCTGTGTCCAGCAGGCCTTCCTGAGGCTTCCGAAGAGCACCCAGACCCCTCTGCTGGGAATAGCCGGGTGCTCTGCAGACTCCTGGACCACACCACCACCAAGGGCCTTCTAGAAGGGCTGGCCACAGGCATTCATACGGGAACCCACTGAGTACTGAGACCGGGGTGCCTGCTCCCAGGCCTCCCGGGCTCCCAGAGGATGCCACATCACAAACACAATAGACGTTCGGCCAGTCACCCCAGATGACACTGCGGCACCAGAAAGGTGCCTGGACCATACCATTAGCCTGGCTTCTAAGGAGCTGCTCAAAGCCTAATCTTTTTTAAATATTAAATAATGTTTTTGAAAGAAAAATACATGGTTTAAAAAGGCAAAAGCAGAAAGGACAGAGGGTAGGTATTCGGTGACCAATAAACCTCTCCACAGCCTGGACCTGGAGAGGAAGTCACCTAGGACTCAGCAGGGGTTAGGGAGTGCCGGTGTCAAGAGGTCAGTCTCACCTGGCTCAGAGCCCAGATGGACCCCAGCCCAATGAGTGGGGAACAAAGGTTTTCTTCTTTTTAATCCTTTCTTGAGAAATGAGGATTTTTTTCCCCATTGATTTTAGAGAGAGTGGAAGGAAGAGGGGAGGAGGAAAGAGAAACATTGATGTGAGAGAGACATATCAAAGGGTTGCCTTCCATGTGCACCCAGACTGGAGGTGGGGATCGGCCTGAACCCAGGTAGATGCCCTTGACTGGGAATCGAACCCGTGACCCTCCTGTGTTCAGGCCAATGCTCTAACCACTGGGCCATGGAGGTCAGGGCCAAAGGTTTTATTTTTTAAGCAAGGGAGTGGCAGGGTTGATTTGTATTTCAGAAAGAACATTCTGGCAGCTGTGTGGACGGTGAACTGCAGTACCAGGAGAGTGCCTGGGTTCCCACCGCACGGTTCCACGACGTCTGCACTTGAAAAGGAGCCCTGTTACCCATTCATAAGTCACAGGAAATCATTCTGAAATGCACAGTACTGAATCTACACACATTAATTAACACCCACTGATAGGAGTGAACTATTGTTTCTGGGGGATTTTTCTTTCCCATCAGACTCTTCTGATTCCTGATTTTGGATTCTTTTCCTCTGCCCAATAAACGGTCACCCCCTCCTTCTCCTCCAGCTGCTTCGTATGCACATCTGAAACCAGAAACCTGATTTCCATTAATTAAATCTGCCATTAAAAATTAAATAACGTGAGCAAGAAGGTGTGTTATCTCTACGGGTTTCAAAAGTCACAGTGTTTCTTCAATTACTTCCCAAGCAGTTTTCATATTTCATACTGTCTGATTTCTCCACGGGCCTGGATTTGCAAGATCAAAAGAGAGTACAGGGGTGAGGGGAAGCGTGGTGAAAAGGCTCAGAAGGGGAGGGCAGGGAAACAGTTGTAGAAGGCCAGGGAAATGGTGCTGCTGCCCCCCACCACCACCACCCCAGGAGCTGGGACCCAGGAGTGGGGGAGGCCTGGGTAACCCACTGGCTCCATGCTTAGAGCAGGTCTGGGGATTGTGGACAGGAAGATAACCAGGCTCATTCCAACGGCCTGCTAAGGAGCCACTTGGGAACCTGGAAGCCCTGACAGACGAACAGCTGCACTGAGTGTCATGGGAGGCATTTCTGTCCAGAGGAGAGACAGAATTAAGGTCTAAGGCATGTGCCAGGATCAAGAGAGGCTGCCAGGGTCAGTGAGGATGGATACGGGTTCTAGAGTCCGGTGGGCTGAACTAGGGCCCAGCTCCCAGGAGTTGTAAACATGGGCCAGCATCCAGATTGGGGACATTGGCTTCTTGTCTGTAAACTGAAGACATTAATAGAGCCTCCTTCATACAGTGAGATAATGTATACAAAATGCTCAGAACCGTGTCCGGCACACAATAAGCTCAATGCATATATTAAGAACTTAACACCCAAATGCATATCAACCAAGGAATACATCTGGAAGAG